CTCAGCTGGCTCATCTGAACATAATTTACCTGTCTTCTTGTTCCTCCTCCCCTGCTTGATGCAGGCTCCTGAACTCCTGATAAACACCAACTTGTCTCCACAGAGCTACAGCAAGGTGACATCCCCAGCTTCTACACCTATGAAGAAGGGTTGTCACATTTAACTGCAGAAGGACAGGCCACGCTGGAGAGGTTAGAAGGCATGTTAGCCCAGTCTGTCAGCAGCCAGTACAACATGGCTGGAGTCAGAACAGAAGACTCAATAAGGGAGTTTGAAGGTAAGAAATGCTTTTGTTTTCATACTATTGCAGAATTCCAGGTTGGAAGGGATCTGGAGGATTATCTGGTCCAATCTTTCTTAGGGAAAGCATGACCTAGACTAGATGGCCCATCACCCTGTCCAGCCCTGTCTTAAGTGTCCAGTGTTGGGGAATCCACCACCTCCCTGGGTAGATTATTCCAATGGCTGGTTGGAATCTCCCCAGGAGTAACTTGTGCCCATCACCTCTGTCTTTTCCATGAGACTCCGTGTAAAAAGGGAGTCTCCATTTCCTTAGTAGCCACCCTTTAAATACTGGAACATGGGGATAAGGTCCCCCCTGAGCCTTCTTTGCCACAGCTGCTCACTGTTCACTCCTATGGAGCTTGTTTCTGCCAGGTCCTTTTCCCAGAGCTGCTGTAGCCAGGCAGATCCCAGGCTGTGCTGCACTCTGGGACTGGGTTTTCCCAGGTGCAAGACCTGACACTTGGCCTTGCTGAGCTCCATCAGGTTCTTGTTATCCCACTCTTCAGCCTGTCCAGCTCATCCTGCAGGGTGGCTTCTCCTTTCCAAGTGTCTACTTCCTCACTTAGTTTGGTGTCATCAGCAGACTTCATCAGGGAACACTTGGTCCCATCACTCAGATCCCTTATGAAGACATTAAGCAGCATTGGACCCAATATCAGTCCCTGGGGTACCCCACTGGTGAGAGGTTCCCACTTGGAGAAGTAGCTGCTCATCACCACCCTTGGGGTGCAACCTATCAGCCAGATCCCACCCTCTGCATGGACCACTTGTCCAGACCATAACCCATCAGGTTCTTTAGGAGGAGGCTGTAGGAAACCCTGTCAAAAGCCTTGGAGAAGTCCAGGGAGACAACGTCCACCACTCACCCCACGTCAGCATTGTCATAGAAGTTCATGGGATTCATCAGGAAAGACAAACTGAAGCCTGTATGAGAGCAGTGGTTCTGCAGTCTGGCTCCTTCTGTTAGAGCACAATTAAAGCTATTCAAAGGAATCATGTAGCCATTTGCTACACCAAAACCTCATTTAAAGATGGAATAGTTTAACTCTGGGATTTAAGTCATTTTAGTAAGATGGGGTGAGATGAGGTGGTGGGAAGCAGCTATGGCTTTAATTGACCAGCCAGTTTCCTGTCCTGGCCATCTTCTGTCAACAGAGGGCCCTCGTTCCCTTTGCTGTTAATATCACCCGCTTGTGTGCAGTGTTGTGTAGCTTGGCTGTTCTGTTTTCAGATGGGATGGAGGTGGACATAGCACCAGTAGTTGCGGGGCAGTTTGAAGATGCAGAAGTCGATCACTGAGGAGGCCACGTGCTGCTGTAAGTCCTGCTTTCCAATCTTTTTCAGTATGCAGAGCCTTCTGTCTTTGTGATGTCTATAATGCATGTGATCCCAGATCTCCTGCAAGGAAGATATTGGGATAATGATGACTTAGAGAAGGAAAAGGTAGCTGTAGTTAGTGCAGATGTGGAAAGATGCTCAGTGATCTGTCCAAAATTGCCTGTTGGTGTAAACAGTCACCTGCATGGAGGTGCCTGTCTGGAAGTTCAGCCCTTCATTAAACTCTCCCATCTCAAAGGCTCTTAGATGCTGGAGTTGTTGCTAGGAAGTTATGTCCTTAGTGTCTGTTATTTCACTCTGTGCAGGAATTCCGAGGCCTTCCAATGGGATGGAGCACTTGACAAGTGCTGTGAGTCCATCTCTTCCTTTACTGCAAGCAGAGCAGGAACAGTTGCTGCTAAAGCTACTGAGCAATCTGGATGGGGTTGTTGTTAGAGACAACGCTCTGCTTAGGTGGCTGTGCCAGTGACCATCACCTGCACTGCTTTTCTCCTGTTGGTGGCATTACAAGACATGCCAGTGTTTCCTTGACACTGGGAGGAGATGGAGAGCAGCTCATTCTGGGACTGTATGGAGATGCACAGTCACAGCAGGATGGTGATTCCAGCCCTGCTGCAGCAGTGCTCACCAGTGCAGTGTTTGCCTGTGCTGCTGAAGCAGTGGTATGTTGTCCCAGTTCTTCTGCCTCTCTCAGGAGAGGCTGCTAGATCTTGCCTTGCAGCAGGCACAGAACTATCCCACTTGGAATGCTGGAGAAAATAGTTATGGGCAGTATCCGAAAGGTCAGGGAGGAAGAAGGAAAGGGCAGGGGAGGAAAGGGACACAGGAAAATGACATGCTGAAAAATTCAGTGGAAATTGGTTTGGGACTACACTGGGAGAGAGGCTGCAGCCCCTAAGAGAGGCTGTTGTGGAGCAGTGATGCACATCTGCTTCCCTCCTCTGCTCTTCCTTTGCCTTTGCTGTTAATACTCATGCAGTAAGTCTGAGTAGCTCCGTGCTCACTGATCTCAACCACTGCTGTGGGTCCTGAGTTAGTGTTTATTGTTGAGTGCAAGAGCTCAAACCTTGCCCACCCTGGGAAGGACTTTGCAGTACAGGGAGTTCTCCCCATAAAAGTCAAGATACTTGTTGCCTCATTGGACTTAAGTTGATAAAGGAAAACTCTTCAGCTGTAGATGAAGAGCCTCTTAGTGAATGGGAAGCTTGGCTCTGATAATTCCATCTCCAGGATGATTTTGGTTTGTGTTTTATGAAAAGAATAAGTAATTGTGCTGTTGAAAAGTCAAATTTGAATGTGTATTTGAATACTTGGCCAGGATTAAGGAGAGTTCATGGCTGGTGGCAGATCTCTAAGGAGCCTGAAGTGCTGGTGGAAGTGGTGTTGACTGATCTCCTAGCAAAGCACCAAATCCACTCTGTAAGAAGTTGTTTTGGTCAGAGAAGTTATTCCTGCTGCTTAATCTGTGCCTTCCGTGGGGCTGCAGGTGGCTGTGGGGGATTAATGCTGTGAGAGGTGACTGGATAGGGAGTCTGCTGTCCTGCTTGCCCTTGTCCTTACTGGTCAGAGCTGAGGAGCTGGTCCCTGCCAGGGCAGATCAAGTGATGTGCACGTGTAGTGATGCTGTTCCAGGTAGCAGCTCAGGAGCTGTGGGTGTGATGGGCCTTTCTGAACCAGCCTGAGTGCATTTATGATGTTATTTAAGTAAGTTCAGAACTCTGGGATGTACAGCAGCAATAAATAACTGAAGGTGCCAAGTGACAAGAACAGTTCTTAGAGACCTGTGCTAATGAGTTTTAGCATGAGGCTGAGGGTAGCTTAGTTCTACACTCTGTAAACAGCAGAGAGGGAGCATGCTCTGATCTTCATACTGAGTCACTGCTGTGATCTTGTCTATGGAGCAGCTGAGCCCATTTAACCTTCTGAACCACAAAACCACCGTGCAAGAACATGTTGTTAGTGACCTGTTATGGAGCAGAACACTGCCCTGCTGCTAAAGCGATGCCCTTGTGGGCTGCTCATGTTGCATATTCCTGCTCATTACCCAAATGAGATGTGGCAGTTGCCCACCAAAGCTCCTGGAGACGTGCTGCCGGTTCACGTGGGACGTTTCCACTGGTGTTTAATGAGCAGTTTTGTGTCTGGCACATCACGAGTTGCAGTTTGTTGTTCTGGAGTGACTAGCATGGCTGTGTGTGGTGGTGCAGTGGGTTGTCCTTAGCTGACCCGAGCTTAGAGCTGCTGCCAAAGATGTTCAGCCCTTGTGAAAACCGGTGGGTTTGCAGTGAAATGCTGTCCCCTGTGCTGCAAACAACGATTACCTATGACTTTGTAAAGATAAATAACCTTTAATCGTGTAAACTTGGTGTCTTGTATCTTTCAGATTCCTCTTGTGGCACTTGCAGAATAAGCTGTAAAACTGAAGGCATGGCAGTGACTATCAGGAGTTAACCTTTCTTTTAATGACCTAAGCTTCAGACATCTAAGGTCTAAAAATGCTTTTATAGATGTTTAAACCAGGGTTTGACATTTGTGACCACTATGGGCTTATTTAAGCAGCCAGAACCAACCAACAAACCCAATAAAACCTCTTTGCATCTAACACTTGAATGGGGCTAATCAGGGGGCATTCAGAGAAGCCTTTGTAGGAGTTCTGGGACTCGAGAAATCCAACTGTAAGTAGAACAATTTTAGATTGTCCTGGAATTCCCTGTATTTTTGTACCTGTTCATTGAGGTGGGTAAAATGGGACTAGAAATGTTACAAAGCTGGACTAAAAGGACATAGGGTCAGCCAGGGACTGAAAGCAAAGCTACATGTAATGCCCCTTAAGTGACTGGGGTCAGTTCTGTGCTATCCCTTTTATTTCTCTGAGAGCAGGGTTTGGGTGGGAGAGGAGATGGACTAAGAGTGTAAAGTCCTGAAAGAGGGAACTGTTTTGTGTCTTTGTATCACACGTTAACAATGTTGTGAAATAAACTTAAGATTTCTTTTGTATCTCACAACCAGCTCAGTGCTGCAGGTTTCAGTCCATTCCTTCAGCAACTGGTGATTCTGAGCCCATGTCCTTTGGGTTTGGTGCATTCTTGTAGAGCACAAAGTCCAATGGAGCCATTTCCTGGGCCACCTGCATGTGAGGACAAGAAGGCAGAACATATTCAGAGGGCACCTGTAATACAGAATTAGTCTGACCCATCCCAAACTTGGGAACGCAGATTTAAATGGCCAAAGCTTGGTCCTGCTGCAGCCTTCCCTGCTTCATCTCTGGGTGCTGGTAGTTTTGCCATGGGGCAGTGTCAGCAAATTCAGGTGTTTCACCCCCCAGCATTCAAATGAAAGTTGTTCTTGATTTTCATTTGATTTGTTAGGTTGACTTGTGGATTGTTTTCAGTATTAATATGTTGGTAGATGAGCAGTTTTCTTTACCAGCCCTGCACTCTTGCAGTTACTTTGAATGGTCCTGCTCTGTTCAGCACATTAAGACATGGTGTGATTTCAAGGTACGTGAAAATTATAACTACCCTTGATGAATATTCATTAAGAATTGCAGCCAAATTAGTGGCGATTTAATAGTGGTGTGAACTTGACATTGCTGAATACTTTGGGTATTAGTGTTATACAAGACATTCTAGAAGAATGTCTTCACTAGCCCCTTTGTATACATAAATTGGAATCACAGAATGGTTTGGGTTGGAAGGGACCTTAAAGCTCATCCAGTTCCAACCCCCTGCCACGGGCAGGGACACCTTCCACTAGAGCAGCTTGCTCCAAGCCCCTGTGTCCAACCTGGCCTTGAACACTGCCAGGGATGGGGCAGCCACAGCTTCTCTGGGCACCCTGTGCCAGCGCCTCAGCACCCTCACAGGGAAGAGCTTCTGCCTAAGAGCTCAGCTCAGTCTCCCCTCAGGCAGGTTAAAGCCATTCCCCTTGGTCTGTCCCTACAGGCCCTTGGCCAAAGCCCCTCTCCAGTTTTCTTGCAGCCCCTTTAGGCACTGGAGCTCCTCTAAGGTCTCTCCTTAAGGAGCCCTGTCTTCAGGCTGATCCAGCCCAGGTCTCTCAGCCTGGCTCCAGAGCAGAGCTGCTCCAGCCCTTGCAGCATCTCCTCTGGGCTCGCTCCAACAGCTCCACGTCCCTCTTGTGCTGTTGCCCCAGAGCTCCTCACCCAACACCCCCAAGTCCTCCTCAGGGCTGCTCTCAGTCTGACCTCTGTGCTTTATGGACTTTGCTTTCACATGCTGTTATCAGTGAGATGGAAGCTGGCCTCTAAGCCAGTAAATCCTGGCTGCCTGTGGGTTTGTATCTCTACTTTCTCTTTCCCCTGGCTGCCTGCTTTTATGCTTGATGACCTTTGTTCTCGAGACCTTTTCCCTGTGGGCCTCATGGGCTCAAGGGAGACATGCAAATCAGTTCATTATGTCAGGCCTATTTGTGCAAGAAATGAGGTTAATAACTGAGCCTGAGTAAGCCAATGAAGGCAAAGTCCCAGGGAGGGGGAAAAATTATGTCCAATGTATGGATCACTTTAAAATAGGTAAAAAAGCAGCAAAGCCATAGAGTGGGAAGTAGAATCCTCCCAAAGCATCTGTTTAGAAGCAGTGGGTAATGTGTTAAAAGGACATGTTTTTTAGAGGTCTCACACGCTGGGTTCTGTTCTAGCAACTCTCCAGGGCTGAGTTACAAACAGGCAGATGAATGTAAAACCAGCTGAAAGATCGCGTCTGCGCACGCTCACAGTGTGGTGTGTGTAGTCCCTGCTGTGAGGAGTTTTACTGAAGACAAGTAAGTCTCCTTTATTAGGCTTACGTTAGTACCCAAGAGCTGCTGACTGATCACCCAGCAGTTGTCATCAGTGTATTAGCAGGCTGCTTTGGTTTAATGACTGAATACAGGGTTGTGGTTGTGGGTAAGACTCTTGTATGAAACCCAAAGTTTCAAGTTCAGACAGCTGATTTTGAAATATAACCTTAGAGGTACGTAGGATAATTAAAATGAGAGAAGATTTTATTGTCACAAGGAAGAAATGACATGAGAATGTTTACTTCCCCAGCTCTTGCCTGAAAAGGCAGCTGACAGCAGCAGCTGGTCAAGACTTGGTTCATCATTTGACTGCAGAATAAAACCCAACAAAATCTGTCTGATTCCTTCCCTTTCTCTCAGGATCTGGGCTGTTCCTACTGGTAGCTTTGTAGAACTGGTTAACCACCTCCCCTCTCAAACCTACTTCCTGTAAAGTGAAGTCTTCAATTTAAAAACTATCGGCATATATAAGAATTAAGATGCTTTCAGAAGAATCCACCTCATGCTACAAAGACGACTTAAGGGGATGGTACCTATTGGTGGTGCTCTCCTCAGTGGAGGGTATAAAGGTTGGTTGTGGCAGTTTGTGTATGTAGCGCTTTAATTTCTTTACCTGTATTGCAAATTCATTTATTAAAGAAAAACATCTGGTAAGAGTTACATGAAATCAAGTTCCACATGATTCATCCCTATGTGCTGTATCTATTTTACTGTGTGAAGAGGCAGCAGTGATCTCAGGTGAAGTAGTTTGGGTTGGTTTTTTTGCCCAAAATGCCCTTTTTTGTGTGTGTGACTACAGACCTTTATGGTACTTTATTACTGCTTTTTCCACTCAAGAGAAATATTCAGCCAGCTGCAGTGGGATGGGATGGGGCAGAGCCTTCCCAAAGGAAGTGAGGAGTTACTTACCTGCATTCAGTTATTAGTAAAACAGTGCTGGTCCTACAGACTGTTAATATCGGTGTAAGGTGTCTCTAGAATAGAGCTATGGGGCCTCTTCTAGGGAGCAGTGTAGCCTTTCTTCCTCTCCTGTGTTGCAAGGAGGAGTATGATGAGATCAGTAGAAGAATGGAATCTTCAGCTTTTTTTATGCAGGTGCCTTCTACGGGAAGAAATCCAGCAGTCATTACAAGGACTGAGTGTATCTCTAAAATGAGCTTTGCAAACTGTTGTAATAAAGGTCAGCAAATGGCACTTCTGGCTAAAGTGACAAAGTTGCAGAGTTTTAACTGTCCTTCACATTCCTAGGGTTTAATGGTGGCACGTATCTCAAGATCCCAGTGTGCTATTACTAAAGAAGTGTTTGAATACAAAGTTGGAAGTCAGAGATTTCAAACATGAAGTCTGGAAATACAGCTGAAAGGTGGTGCAGAAGTTGAGGTCAGCAGTTTTCTGGCAGCTTCACATCTGCAGATGTTGAAAGTGTATTTCAATGTCGCTGCTTGGTGTCAGAATTTGATGGCTCAGGAGATCCGGGGAAGGATTTCACCCCATATAAAAGCCACAAGTATTGTACCTGAAAAAGAAATCACATGGGTGAGTTTGTGAGCAGCATCTGTTTTGATAACCACATTGGTTTTAGGTGACATCAAGGGTATAGCACAGTGAATTGGGCTTTTTGAGGAGTATTTTTTTAAGGTCATTCTAGTTTAAAGTTTATTTTGAAGCTGAAAAATTATAGAGACTATGGGTTCTTATTAAGAAACATAGAATATCTCAAGTTGGAAAGGACCCAGAAGGATCACAGAGTCCAAAAAAGGGCACCTGGATACGGTTTAAGACCTTTTTGTTTCTCCTGGAAAAAACCTGTATTCTGTTTCAGAAATGAATGACAGCACTCCTCACCCAGAACTTGTACCTTACGAAGCTCCCTACATCACCAAAAAGCTTACTGGAAGGGATTATAGGCAAAAGTTCTTCCCTCTGAGGGCGGTGAGGTGTATTTTCTGTACTTTAATGACAAATCACTGTTGATGAATTGTTACAGACTGTAGCATCTCTCCCTAATCCCGTTCTAAATCCGTCAAAACATGGTTCCATTTGAGTTAACATCTGATGACTGTCTTAAGTCAAAAATCACCTGAAGGCTTGCTGCAGAGCAGGATACATCTTGCTAAGTAAGTAGGAGATGGTGTTTGAGAACACCTCCTGTTTGTTTAGATCACTTGCCAAAACCTTCAATCCCAAGTACTTAACAACCTGGAAAAGCTCCAAATGATTTCAGGTAGAAATCAGTCAACACACACAAAGCTAAACCTGGCTTTTGAGAAGTATGATGTGTTCTGTCAGGACCAGGTGATGCTCTCACCAGCTTTGCCTACAACACTTCACTAGCTACCAACTGGAACAGCACACAGGCTTTTATCTTACTTATCAATAGCTTATTCTATGTTCATATCCTGCTTGGTTATCTTAATATATCAAAATGATATTAAAGTGAATTTTAGTTAGCCTAAAACTTCTGTCTCCATTTTTGACTGAGAGTCAACACAAGCAGAACATGCAGAGATAAAACCTCAGACAAGAAGTTCTTTCTTTTAACTGGTGCTCTTTGAGATGTTTCCTGTTTATGTTTCATGTCCTCTTGTACCTTCCTCGCTGTGGTACCTCCTAATAGGATTAACAATCATGGAAGAACTAGGGATTAGCAGACAGCTTCTTTATATACCCTCTACACAGCAAGCTCAGGAGCTGTAGGGACTAACTGTGAACAACCAACAGCATGGAGCAGTTTCACTTGCACACAACTCAAAATCCACAGCTTCCAAATTAAAACTGTCATTTAAGTTAGAGAAAATCTAGTTATTAATATTGCTTATTCTTGAATTGAGAAGAGATTGTTTCCAACCACAACTGGGGGGAAAAAAAACACAGAATGGGAACTGCAAAGTTTAGACACTATGGAGATAAGAAAGATTTGGTATTATAATATAATTAGGAAAGCATTTTTTAAGCACTTGTGCTAATACCTATGGGTTTTTTAATTACTCATCCCTATGTTCTTGTATAGTGTCACAAAGCAAGACAGAAACTGTGCTAACCAGGATGTTTTTCTTTCTGAGCTTAATCAGGCTAATATTCACTTCCGGGTGGCCTCTTCTCCTTTTAATACTCTGGTGGAATCTACAAGTGGGCCCTTGGTCAGTGGGAGCATTTGCAATGTACCTCAAACAGGCTGGACTGTAAGACCAAGGTATAAAGTCCCGAACGACAGGCAGCTCTGAAAGGATCCAGAGTAAATGGGTGTTGGTTTATAACAAACCAGTTAACCTTACCTAAACACTAACCTTTTCCCACATAGGACTGTGCTGGTGTGGTTGATTGGTAGGTACATTTTCTTGCTCAGAGTATCCCAGAAGTACTTAGACTTTGAACATAGAATCAGATGGGTTGGAAAAGACCTTTAAGATCAAGTCCAACTGTTCCCCAGCACTGCCAAGTCCAGCAATAAACCATGTCACTGAGGGCTTCATCTACACATGGCATCTAAACTAAGCAATGATTTAACCTAATACGGTTGTTTCTTAAAATGAACTTACTGTAACAGCAGATACTATTTTGTCAATGAAACTGGTGTTTAAAACTCAGTTTCAGATGCTTGAATCACAACAGAACACTACAGGTGCTCCACACAGAGCATTACACAGGTTAGAAATCCACAAGCCTGCATGTGCAGAGTGAACGCGATTGCAGCCCAGAAAGCCAACTGTATCCTGGGCTGCATCAAAAGGAGCGTGACCAGCAGGTCAAAGGAGGGGATCCTGTCCCTGTGCTCTGCTCTCGTGAGACCTCACTTGCAGCATTGTGTGCAGTTCTGGTGTCCTCAACATAGAAAGGACATGGAACTGTTGGAACAAGTCCAGAGGAGGCCATGAGGATGATCAGGGGACTGGAGCATCTCCTGTATGAAGACAGGCTGAGAAAGTCGGGGCTGTTGAGCCTGGAGAAGAGAAGCTGCATGGAGACCTCAGAGCAGCTCCCAGTGTCTGAAGGGGGCTACAAGGATGCCGGGGAGGGACTCTTCATTAGGGACTGTAGTGACAGGACAAGGGGTAACGGGTTCAAACTGAAACGGGAAGTTTAGACTGGATATAAGGAGGAAATTCTTTCCTGTTAGGGTGCTGAGGCACTGGAATGGGTTGCCCAGGGAAGATGTGAATGCTCCATCCCTGGCGGTGTTCAAGGCCAGGCCATGCCTTGGGTGCCATGGCTTAGTGTGAGGTGTCCCTGCCCATGGCAGGGGGTTGGAACTGAATGAGCTTAAGGTCCTTTCCAACCCCAACTATTCTATGATCCTATGATTCTGAATGACTTCTACACAAATGCCTCCCATGGCAGGGGGTTAGAACTGGGTGATCTTAAAGTCCTTTCCGAGCCAAACCAGTCTGTGATTCTATGATTCTGTGTTGTAATTGACTATGTTCTGGAATTCATTAAAGCAGACTATCAAATGAAGAACACCAGTTCCTGATTTCTGAAGCAGGTATAGAGTAAGACTACCTCAAATACATAAAGTATGAAGAACTTACCCAAGGACGGTGCTACCCAGTATACTAGTGAGTAACTCAGAAACTTCTCATAGAAACAGTGTGGGTGTAATGACAAAGCCAATGCTGGGTTAAATATTGCTCCTGTGAGATTTCCACCTGCAGTAAAATGCAAACAATATGGAATCAAACAATGTGAAATCAAATCTTTATTAGTATTTATTCTAAGTTAATACTGAAACGCACATACACAATACTAAAAGCAATGTACACCCTGCAATAAAATGAATTAGCAGAAACCATTTGAATGGATAAACTCTTCTGTGTTACTTACCTGATGGCAGGGTTAAGAGATTAACTGTTTTCTAAAATGCTTCCAAATACCTGAAGTGTAGACTGTAACCTCTTTTATCTCTCCCTAGCAAATACTCTTTAAAGAGATGGGTTTGCCTCATGTTGAATGTTTCTGCTGATAAGCTCTTTTAGTCTGTAGCACACTGTTAGAAGGGGGAATGGGTTTTATCCTGCCAGAGGGGAGACTGAGATGAGCTCTTAGGCAGAAGCTCTTCCCTGTAAGGGTGCTGAGGTGCTGGCACAGGGTGCCCAGAGAAGCTGTGGCTGCCCCATCCGTGGCAGTGTTCAAGGCCAGGTTGGACACAGGGGCTTGGAGCAAGCTGCTCTAGTGGAAGGTGTCCCTGCCCGTGGCACGGGGTTAGAACTGGATGAGCTTTAAGGTCCCTTCCAACCCAAACCAGTCTGGGATTCTATGAAGTTGTTCCCTGCCCCAGGCCAACCCCCCAGTTTCTATCCTGGGCATGACATGCTGTGGTATGGAATACCCCTTTGGCTAGTTCGGGTCAGGTGTCCTGTCTCTGCTCCCCTCCTGGCTTCTTGTGCCCCTCCTTGCTGGCAGAGCATGAGACTGAAAAGTCCTTGATTTAGATGTAAATGAAGTTGCCTCGACATTCTCTAAATAACTAGATCCAAACACATTACGTTGTGGGGACTAAACTGTAATTACACAGCAGATGAACCTGCAGCTGTTTTAATTCTGACATATGTTGTTCCTCTCATCACAATCTTGCAGGAAAAGCATTACTCACAGCAAAATCCTCTGTATTTCTGTATTATTTGTTACTAAACACCCCATATCTGTTTTATCTGTTAATCTGATCCCATCAAATCTAATTGTGTTTAGTTTCTTCAAGTTCCTTCTTAATTTTCCCTAAATAAGCTCTGCACTCCCCCTGCGTACAAATACTGTAACGTATTTGTAATGCTGTAACCCTCACTTGTATGAGCATCAGTTACCAAAAGCTTTAGTAAGGTCTTTGCCATTTTCTATTTCTCTATATAGAATATAGTCTCTCTATACAGATATTCCTCTATACAGAACAGTCTCCTTATGATTTCTTTTACTGTTATTCCACGTCAGGAAGATTTTAACCTTTGTTGATCTACTCAGTTTCCTCTGGTTTAAATGCGTTCTCCAGCACAACTCAGATTTACTGCGCACACCTACACATTTAGTCTGTTACTGTGCACTCTTGACACATGAAGAACTTCCATGGTTGCCCGGGAGGCCATCTACAGTCATTCCATCTACTTCTGAACTCACTGCTTCTGCTTTTATAGCCACAAACAGACATTTAAGAGTACAATTTCATTATCAGGATGTAGCTGCTGTTTGTGAACATTAAACAGACGTTTAGCTGCTGTATTTCTTC